AGAAAAAAAACAGTTTACTTGTACAAGATATTTTTTTTCAATAAAATAAATACACCAATGCATGTAGCAAGCCTTAGGGAGCTATTCGTGTGATTTTCAAAAAAAATGTGAAAAGTGCCAAAAAAACTATTCTGCTACCTTAAAGGGGAACCGCTCAATCCCATGGATTGCACCAAAGAATCATTGGACACTATTGTTTATGTTGTTTACAATGTTAATCTATCTTTTGTTATCCATTGTTATTTTAATCCAGAAAGTAAATTTGTTGTGAAATTAATCTTAACTGGAAGGTGCCCCTTTAAGTTTTACATACTACGCCGGCGGTGATACCCCTTGCAAGCAAAGGTAAACACGCTAATAGGCGGTGTAATAACTACAACGCAAACTCTGCAACGAACCAAATAATAACGTATGAAGATAACAATGTAGTAATACTTTCATTTTCTGAGGAATACTTTTATTTACAGTTGAATGAAATATATTCTAAAGTCTTTGTACTAATTATGGCTTAGCGCCTTCAGATTAAGTTCAAATTGAGGTTAACAAACTACTAAAATTGTGTTTAATTGCAATTGCTTCCCCCAAGTCATTACTGCGTATAAGAAGGTGTAACATGTATTATCTAAATATCAACTACATCAATGTGGATTTTCCTATATAGATTTTAGAGTGAAATAACGTATACTATATTTTCTACATATTAACAGATTGGCTGTATGGTGGTGGCAATGTTACTTCACTATTTCTTCACGTCTGTATTCTGTTGGATGTTAGTGGAAGGAATTCAGTTATATGCAAAATTAATTCGTGTTTTTGAAAGTAACCAAACCACGAGAATGACGTCATACTTTTTCGTCGGGTGGGGTAAGTGACATTGTGTGCATATAATCTATATATTCGCCTAAACTATAACCAAACTGTAATCGTGTAACCATGACAGTACATATATAGTACTAATTATTATGTACAATCTGTGCCAAATATTATCGTCATGAGTTTGGGTAATCACAGTGTTTTGATTTACTTTGCTCTAGGAATTCCTTTCCTAATTGTAGTTATTGCTGTGGCGATTGATTATGAACACTACGGAACAGACGACAAGTAAGTTTTTTGATTAGCACTTTGCTCTCGTTAAGATTCTACACATCCCCCATGTTGTTAGCTATGATTACTCAGTACGATAACCAGGAAAATGTGCATGCTGGTTCTACAGTTAAACAATACCAAAGCAAATTCAGAAGTGTAGGTTGCAGAAAAACAGGATGTAGTACATAATCTCATCGTTCAGCTCATTGCGAGAACAACGTCCCTGCATGTGTTCACGTTGATTGTCATTGACGGAAATACCGGCCTACCGAAATGAATAGTTACAATATATTACAAACCTATATTTGTATGAATATGTAAAATTTATTAACAGTTATAAATGTATGTACTATGTTTTATTATAGTTGTTGGTTGTCAGTATCAAGTGGGCTTATTTGGGCATTCGTGGGTCCCGCGTTACTGGTCATATTGGTAAATGTGGTGTTCCTTGGAATGGTGGTCCGTGTTATATCTAAATTGCATAACTGTGCTGAGGACGATAAGTATACTAAAGTCAGGTTGGTAACAAAGTGGCATTATATTGATTCCACTGTAAAATGGGAATAACATTTTATTAAGTGTATATTAGGAAAATTTCTGCGTAAATTGTTGTCAAAATAACATTCAATTCAAGGTGCTTTTTTAGCTCTCAAAAAATGTTGCTCAGCTTAGAGGTCGCTATAGTCTTTTGAAAAAATCGGCACGATTTGTGGACAATTAGACACGTTTCAAATCTAGAAGCGCTATCTTATATAATTGCTCTAGTCAATCAACAAACGTTGCAGACGATCATCAAATCATTAGGAACGTTGAGGGCGTTATATCGCTGACGCCATTACCATACTAACACATCGCAACAATGTCGAATGTCATTCATTAGCATTCGCTGACGTTATAGTTTCACTTTATAAACTCATTTGCATATACAAATATGAAAAGCCATTCAAATAAATTCGACGAAAATTTACTTGATTTCACAACTGGTCGGAGAAATAAATTGCCTACTATTTACCAAATTGGGGTTGTTTTTCTACGTAACTCAAGTTGTGTTTGCTTGGATGATTAGAAATACAACATGCAATTTGGATAAGGTCTTCGCGAATTGTTTTTCAGAAATTAAAAGGAAAGTCTGTTGCTAGCGTTCAGAATTAATACCGTGACACGAGGCATCAAACAGTAAACAGTAAAACTATGTTCGTTTTTTCTAACAGGGCCAGTTTGAAAGCTGCAATTGTCTTGCTGCCATTGTTAGGCATGACGTGGTTGTTTGGGTTATTGTCTGTTAACAAGAACACCGTTTTCTTCGAATACATGTTCGCTATCTTGAATTCCTTGCAAGGTTTCTTCATATTTCTATTTTACTGTGTAAACAGCTCCGAGGTAAGATCGAAATACTATTAAGTAGTTTTCTTGAGGGGATTAGTAAACAAAATATGTTTCAAGCGCACTTCGGAATACCAACTCTATTTATGATGGTTAATCACGTGTTCCCGCTATATCATGTTTATTACTACATACTATGCGAGAATTGTTTTATAAGAATTATTCCGTAATGCTGCTATAGATGTAAATGCTAACATGAACACATCAACCCACCACAGTACATTGGTCATCGTTAAATAATGTATAGAAATGTATTTTAGTTACACAATTAAATGTTTAATATTATTTGTAATTTTAATTTTGGTTTAAATACTAATACAAATACAAGAACTTGCTTATAATCCACTACAATCGTTGATTTAATTATTGCTGGCGGAACACATCTATATGCACCTGGTGAAATAATGATATAATTACTAATCTCAATGTAACATTATGTTATTTCAAGGTACGTGCACAGTTGGCACGCAAGAAGCAAACGATTGAGCTAACGCATGGTATCAGTCTCAGCAGTGGTCCTAGGTACTCGTCTAATCAGGTTCGACCAAACACGACTAGCGAAGAAATAAGCAATTCGGTTAGTAAACAGCCTATAGTACCTGTTAAATTTTGAATTCCAAACGTGGTCATTGTTATCATTGAAAATGTCCACCATTTTGCTTTTCAACTCGATTAAAACCGCGGGATGGCGTCTTTTGCATTTGAAATATCCTTACTCAATCTCCTAATATCATTCTAAAATTGGTATTGGTTCTACTTGGAATTATTGGAATTATAATCACGTGGAACATATATAGCGAGCTCTGTGTAATCAACAGTGACTTGTACATTTATATTCCAGAATATTGCCAGCAGGTCTTCAATACGGATATCCTTGGATACAGGAATACAGGAAGAAGCTGAAAGCTCTGATGGTAACTTGATGTAGACTTACTATAACTGGTATAGCCAAAATATTATTGACGGCTTCCGGTAAAAATAGTGTGTGTAGTACGGCTTTATATAGTCGAATGATAAATCTTTCTTATATATGTAGGTAGCGCCATCTAATGAGGGTTTTTGCGACGTATATATATATACACGGATAAACGCAATAAAATATAACTTTGTTTCGCTGTGTTGATATTCATTTTCATTGAATAATGCGTATCTTTAAAAACAGTGTTTGGCATTTATTGAACGATTACAGATCAAAAGAAAATCTGTCGGAAAATAAAAGGCGTTATTTAAAGAAAATAATTATTTCATTTCAGTGCATATTTCTATCATAAACATTATGAAAAAATGTGAAAGATTGTTTTAAATGTGTATATCAGTGTTATATATACCATATCATGCTCTCATTCCGTCCAGTCAATATTTGTATATTATTTTAGTGTGTCAATATTCTTTTGTATTTTTTAGTTCCGTAATGGGGGAAACTACTTATAAATAAATATTACTTAAAATTGTTTTAAACCATGGGTTAACGTTAAAATAACATCGCAAATTGTGTGTATCTGGTATGCGTATTTATTTAATATATGTTATACTAATAGAATTATGTTTAATGTCATCGCAAGCAAGTTATTTAAAGCAATGACGTCACACTACAATATACGTACATTTCGTGTCGCATATTAATGTGCATAATTCCCACTTTTGTCTATGTTCTTTTTTAAATAACCCATACTTTTAAAATTTAACAGTGGGATAATGAATAATTCTGTCTAGAGGTAGTATGTTTATTTGTGACTGAGTTCCTTTTATTTCGAGTTGATCTGTATTATATATTGTTGTATTTACGATTATGTAATTCCTTAGTTAACTTGAAACCTACTTGCAGGGACGGGTCACGTGATATAATGGGGGAGATGAAATACTATACGTGGCTAATTGCACAAATATCATAGTTATTCTAGACATATTGAAGAAAATAGAGTGGAAAGTGGATGTTCGATGTTGATGACCTCAGTGACCTGCATCCATAATATTGTACGTGTGTTCTAATAGAATTAAGTACTGAACTCCTATGCGATTGCAACAATGCTATCAACACGTACGAGTATGTTAAAAAATGTTGTCATATATGTTTATTTCTATATCTGTATTAACTACATGTGATATATTACATATAATTAAAGTTGTACAAGTTGAGTTCACTGACCTAGTCAAATCTTTATTACGTATTTTGATATTAGGTCATGACTCACCGATATATCGGATTGAATTATACGGCCCATCGTACGTGCATTCAAATGTGTTGTGATGGCCCATTGCTCTTTCATAGCCAGAGGGTTAACTCAATTACGCACGTACGAGCAGTCATAAATTTGTCTGACTCTGCAATGTAGTATGTCTTCTGTATGCACGACGACGGAAATATTAAACATGCATACGTCAAAAAACATGACAATTTTCACCAGTTGCACGATTAATGGGCGACGTGACGAAAACTCGAAAAGGAATTCAATGTAACCGGTTAATGGTACAATTGTTTACGCGATAAACAGCAATAAATATTTAAGACGGTTGCCCTATAATATTGTTGCCATATTAAGAGCTATCGTTCGACGACACGGTACAACTCGGTGTGTTTAAGATAAAAACGTGCATCTTGCAATGGAATAATTGACATAATTATCTGACACCGAAAACAATTGAAATTACCCGCTCTTCATAAAACATGTGGACGAAGGTTTTACGAACGTGTCCGAATGTCTTCCTGATTTAGTAAATTTAGCGTCACGTTTACGTTTACACATTAGAACACGTTTCTTTGTTTACTTCAGAGGCAGAAGTGATATCAGCTCGTGATGGAATTATTATCCCGTCAATGAACGCAAACGTCCACAGAGCGCGAAACATTCTGCCCTGCATTTTCATTAAATATTTCAACAAGAATAAAAGACGTATAGTAATACGTTTTCCGAAATTATCCCAAAGCACAGAAACGCAACGCTTTGGTCGACACAGTCACCATACTGCATTATAGTGCATAATATGAGGTGATTATGAGGATACCTCAAAGTATGCATGAAGACGGTACAGCGGAAGTATCGACCAACGCGCAGCGGCGTAGCATCTTTTCCTTCCAAGGACACATAATGGGAATAATGCCGAAATCCAAAGATTTTAGAACAGAATTAGCGAACTTATTCGTGCTGAGTCCGGTCCACCTCTGGTGGCAGCCATGTTTGTCTTTAATATTATAGGACGCTTACGCGCGTAATCATTCCATTTTTGGAATTTCGCATTTCCTTATATGGTAGGATGAAAATACCCTGTAAAATACCACAAAATCACGGCACGCTGTAACTTATGGCAATACAGTGACAGATGTATGATATTTACGTAAATTTACATCAGCCCCTTTGCATTACATTGCTCTCATAGTTGGCAATACATTCAACAGTTGATACATGGATAAACAGAGCCAGCATTTAACAATGATGTATACACAGGACTACGCATAACACTGTAACAGTCTGCAAGACATTCTAAAAACGTGATCATCGCATTCTTCCCAATCGACTGAAGTGTCACAATCATCATGGAGATAGAATAGAATTTCATATACTCAATGTGCAAATATTTAAACAGTTTGATAATCGGGACTCAAATTTTGCTCTACTGAGCATGTTACTCCACTTATATGCAATGCCTTATGGGAGAGAACCTCCCATTCTATATACTAAATAAACTATAATCATCCTGGAACTTAAATTATATGTCACTTTGTTGAAATGTTTTCATAATTATGCTTCCTATCAATAGTACTTTGAAAACTTTTTGGCACAATCACTGGCACAATAACAAATAAATAATCCACAATAAAAAAATGTCAATTTTGACTATTTTTATAAATTTGAAACATTTTTTTATCCCGAAAAAATCCGATGGCATGAACTCATAATGATGAAAGTTTGACAAATATGACCAATAATCTTGAATTTGGCTCGAATCTCCTTAACGTGTGCTGTATACGTCACATCAAAAACGGCTGTGGCGCTTTCGACAAAAAATCACGATAACTAACCGATTCAGTATTTCACTAACTTGCAGAAACACACACTTAACATGAAAGGTTGTTATAATTGTTTGGTACATGCTTTTTGCATTGTACTCTCCATCGCCCGTTGGGCCACTTAAACTGGGTGGCATTTTCACAATGATTCATATACACAGTTATGCCAGATTAACAAACAGCTGTGTGACATCGTGACAACTACAAACTCTAAAGGATTTATTTATTAAGTACGATCGTGCCGTCGCTGGTATCCTCAATGCTACTTTGTTATTCGGGGGTTTAAAATTAACACAATTTGACAACAAGGCAAATAATTTGGATTTTTTTGAGTGATGGTTCTCTGTACAAAACTTGACATAATTCGTTAAATCAGACTGGCGACACAAACGTTATAACGCCTTAGTCGTTACATTCGGGTCGTTGTCGATATATGGGGCCCATGCAACATATCTAACGCGGGTAAAATACATTGCGTGTTTACATGGAATTCGAACCCACTTCTCACAAGATTGTGAAATTATAATGTGCAAGTTATGTGTAACATATTTAGGAAACGTTATTCGTGAAAAACGATGGAGTTACAGTTTCTGATATAAAATATGACGGTAAATGTGATACAATTAATGTCTGTGTTGATCTATCATCATCGCCCTGCTATGCTTGCATGGACGGCTTTGACAAAAAAGCAAAACAACAATCGCGTTTCCGGATGCAACTTAGAAAACCAAAAATACTGTAAAATGACTAATTTTCGTTGGGTTTAAATTTCACTGATTTACCATTTCAGGCATATTCAGTAGGTTTTAAATTCACGGTTTTATCATTTAGATAATGTGTTCTATGCTCAATTTTACATATTCACTGGGTTTTAATTTAGCATATTTTCCAGTCAGCGAAATAAGCAAAATTAAAACCCAGTGAATAATTAACCATTTTACAGTACTACACCAACTATACTCTTGATTAGTCTTGTTTAATTGTAACTCTTAGCAATGAATTTAATTGATCAGTGGCGTGTAGATCATACACGAGGTATCATGCCTGTTGAACGAATATATACATTCTGTGGTTGCGGGGCATGACATGATCGGTTTTACTGGAGTAAATAAATAACCAACTTATCAGTAAACTCGAATGTGACTTTATGCAAAGTCTTGTTTAATTTTAACTTTTAGCAATGGATCGAATGATCAGAAGTGTGCAGGTCATACACGAGGTGTCATGCGTGTTAAACGAATATATACATTCTGTGATTGCGGGACATGACATGATCGGTTTTACAAGAGGAAATAAATAACCAACTTATCAGTGACCTCGAATTTGTCCTACCCGAACACCATTGAATGCAGACATGAATGTGCTACTAGATTCATGGTTACGATTCATATGTTATAATATAAAAGTAAACTTTCAAAGCCAATTAAAATAATTGCTAATTATGGTAACAGTGGCAATATATCCATTCAGTAGTTATTCTGACATAACGGTCAGTGTACGGGGATGGGGACAATAATCAAAGACCCACACTAAAAACCGCCACCCACCACACCACCAAGTACTAAGTCTACCGCGAATGGATCTGTGACATAACTTTATCTCATTACAGAAATACAACAAAATCTCCATGTGTGGACTTACAAGTATGGTCCATGCTATGAAAGAATGACTGCAATTCAGTTTCGATGTAATACAACGCCATCAAAAGTACTAGAATGAGATAATATCGTAAGTTGGAAAGAAATCCGAACCGTGACAGGGTGAGATATATTATTGCATTTTATAATTTTGTTAAGAAGCTAATTCAACATGCCACAATTAATTGTCCCGTGTCTGATTACCATTATCCACTTAAAATAAACATAACTTTATAACTGTGTTATAACTTCAGAAAGTATGGTAATAACAATCACATATTGGAGGGAGCTAGACAGATGCATGTTTATATAGAAACCTATCTACCCATCGTGGAAGCTAAATGACCTATCCCTAAACAAGTGATGCTTACCTCGGAGTTAGTTACGACCCGAGGCTTGC